GCCTAAATTTGGAAAGTTTCCCCAGTACGATGCATTTATTGGGGGAAAAAAAAAAGTAATGCAATCTGTTGCTTTTTGTGAGCGTGTGTTTAATAAAATATTTCAATGCTCTCTTGTGAAGCAAAAATCCATGTCAGTAGATTAGAGAAATCAATGCTACGCATTAGAGGTGGATAAAATGTTTTGCATGAAAACATTCATTTTTTTCCAAGAAAATCAGGTTTAGTGACTCCAAAACAGTTTGCAAAGAGAAGTAAATATTGTTGTTACTTGAAAAAAAAATCCACAAAGCTGAAATGGCTTTTGACAATGGTCAAACGATTCCATTTTTGCTCCAAACTAGGTAGTTTTCTTCCCTTCATTCTGAAAATGTTAACCAGCAAAATAATTCATTTGGTGCCCATGAACAAATTAGCAGTAAAAATTAAATCATAACTCTGAATTCATCCCATAAATTACAAAACAAACCTCTTGCAAAGTGAAAAATAATTTCATTATTTATGTTTTCCACATCCAGTGCATACATTAACATTTAATCCTCATAACGATTTTATTATAGAGCTGTATTATCCTAAATTATTGAGTGCATTCCCACATCTCCCCACTACAGTTATGGAGTCCTGTTGCTCCAGAAAGTGTCCCAGAACATTTTTGGCAAGCTGCCTACCCAGGACGGATGAACAAACTATGTTCCACTGCAGCACCATTGAAAATAACTGCATTAAATGATAATTGAAAGAACAGTATTTTGACAGTGGATTTTCCATAATTTTGCCTGTCTTGAACCTGCCAGCTTACAAAAAAGCTTCAAGACTTGAGTGAAATGGGGAGGAATTCACCCTGTTAGGGACTCACATCCCTCCCCTCTTCATTTCAGCCTGAACTGAAAGAAAAGCAGGGATTTGCAGCGAAGTTAGAAACAGTCACGCTTGCTTTGCAAACATTCTAGCTTCCTAGAAAACCCAGCCGGATCATCTCCATGAAGAAAGACAAAGAAATGAATGAACTACACAGTGGCCTTGCCCTATTATTGCCTGGGTTCTCTCCTCCTGCTGTTTGTGGTAGCTCTTTCAGGAAAATACATACAAGTAAAATACATGCAATTAACACTCACAAATGCACCGACAGGAATCTGAACGTGTTATTTCATAAAGCTCCCTTTTTTTTCCTTGAATTGTACTTAATACACAAATGAACAACAATTATTTTCTGAATCAGCATGAAAATGAACAAGAGAATAGGAAAAAAAGCCATGAACACAGCAAGGCTAACTGGGGAACAAACTGATGTTATTAGTAAAGCCAAAGATAATTAATCATCTCCGAGGTTTGGATATCAGCCCCAAAGGAGTCCTCGGTGGTGTGCCAACCCTCAGTAGCATTTAGCAGCAAAGCAAGAGGAAACACACAGACACGAGTCAGAGAGGAGACCAAAACAACAGGGTTAGTGTTTATAGGCCCTGTATTTGGTGCATTTTAAATGGCAACTGTTGACCTAAACCAGACATTGAGGAATAGTGCTGTTTAAAACCCTTGCTTATATGCCCAACTTTTCAGTAAATCCCTAAAAGAGCATTTGCTGTGGTCAAAGATTTTTCCCAGGCAGGTGGGTTACTGACATTCTTGCAGTTGTTAGTTTTCCTCATTCTTTTGGATACAATTCAAATCACACAAGTCACACATAGAATAGCAGTGGTATGAAAATGCAGTTTCACACGTGGAGATGTTTTACTGGACTTGTTTTCAGTCCTTCCTGACAAGAAATGGTGTTACCAGCTGCAGGGTTTGTACAGCAAGAGAGGGAGATTTTTCTGCTGGCTGTGGGTAAGTGTAGTTGCCAACACTGCCCCATTGGTCAGACCAACCTTTTGATGGGTAATTTAGAAGAACAGATGTTTTATCTGGGAACTTGTCCAGATCTTAAAAAAAAATATTGTGAGGAACTCAGTACTGGCCTCTTTTGTCAGCAGCAGTAGCCTCGAAAGTACTGAAGAAATACTGAGTAAATAGCTGGATTTCTATGTCTCAGCAGAGAAGCAGAGACGTTGCATGATTACCTTTGTGAGTGACATGCACTGCAGTGATAAACTAATTGGTGATTGCCAGTTAAATGGACTGAATAACGCTGTAAGCCCTGCTCATGTTAATATGCCCATTATTTTTTCATCAATCCTCTTTTCTCACTCTCTTCTTTTCAAAAAAGCCCAAGAGTGACATCTTTTCTTCCCATCAGCTGCATTAGCAAGACCAGCAGAGACAAAGGGCGTGACGTTTTACAGGACTGCAAATGCATGGGAAATCTTTGAGAGATATTAATTACTGCATTTCATGCAAAACCAAACTAATAAAATCTCTTCCTCACAGATCATGTCTCAATTGAAAGCGGTTTTAATCCACACAAACGATTTCATAAGGCTCTATGATTAGTCTAAGGACTATTACTCATATAAGAAAGTACATTCAAATTTATCTTTTTCTTCCATCACTGCTCAGTCTTGCCTTTTCTCTTAATGCCTTGTCCAATTTGTGCTGTAAATGCCTTGGAGGATGTGCTGAGAAAACACTATTATCTGCCTGAAACATATCTCAGACGTTATCTCCCTTAACCTCAAGACCTGGGGCTGCTCTCTGGGTGACTCTGGAGAGAAGCAGGAGGAGGGAAGGAAGAGGCTGCACCAGAGAGGTCAGGCTGCCCCTGGGGTAGGGGACTACTAGCAGGTAGGGGAGCCCATGATCAAACCTACTGTCAGTGTGAGCTGCTCTCCCTCCCAGGGACCCACCCCATGTGCCCTGCCAGGTGCGTCAGGGGATCTTGCTTCCAGCAGGCCCAGCACGGCCAGAACCAAAGCCACAGCCCTGCTGCCAGACGGGAGAGTCCTACTCTGAAGGTCTGAAAACCAGACAGGATGAGTTAGCCAGCACGGAGCCAGGGACTGAGTAAATGGAAAACAACAAGTTTCCATTTAACTCAATTTTCTACGCCGTTATTGTATTCCTGAAGTGGTTTAAAAAGCGTGCATTCCAGCGCAAAGGCAATGAAACAGCGATGGCATCGCATTGTCACCAGCAATTTCAAAGTTAGCTACACTATGCCTGGAAAAATACATCTTCCTTGGGCTGCAACTCTTCAGTGGGCCAGTTAATCAGGTGATGCAAATCGGCGTAGATCTGTCTGGAAGCCTCAGCAATAATGCAAGATGTTGCTCTCCTGATTACTTTTTGCTGAGCCTACATGCTTTGTAAAGCCACTACAGTAAGTTGATAATGATGCATGAAATGGAAAATCCTTCTGAGCACACCCAAAAGCGCTGTGGATGTGCAGAGCAATCGCAATGGTGCTGGGTTCTTCGACAGTTCTCACCGCACATGCGCCCACACAAATATATTCGAGCTTTCACTGGTTTTAAACAGGTGCAACTCCACCTCCTGTGATTAATTTACTCCTGATTAACATGACCTTAAATATGCCTGGAGTCAGACGCAGAGCAGCATTCAGGTCAGGCACAGAAGAAAGGTGCGACTAAAGATGAAAATCTTTAGCGGTGTCACTCCACTGGTTCGAATCAGCAGAGAATTTGGCCCAGTTACTTTCCTCATTCACATGTCTACCCTCAGAGGCAAAGGTAGTGGGGTATTTTGAGAATAAAACCACTGTGGGGATATATGCGCCAGTATCACACATCAGCAATAGTTCTTTGAGCCTTACAAAACTTGCTGGAAACTGTTTGGAGAATTTTCACAGTAAATTTTCAATACTTTGCTCTTCATCTCCATAGTCACAGTGCTACTCAAAGGTTAGCTGAAACAGCTGCAGGCAGTGGAGGAATCATAGAGAGAGCACACGAAACACAGCCTGGTTTCTGGAAAAAAAGGACATTCAGCTCCTCCTCTGTACCATTACTCTGTACCATTTAGACCGCTTTTGGGGCATTAAATACTGGAAATAGCTCAGAAAGCATTTGACTCAAAATCTATGTCTATATATCATAAGGACTACTATATAATGCATGCGCTTTAAATCCATCCTAACTAGAAAATGTAAGTTATGTAACGCCAAAAATGTCATTAGAATGTAAGCACTGCACACAGCCATACTCCTAACATCCTTCATTCTATACTGAAAACCAAAGATTAAACATATTGCCTCATGCACATCACACAATTAACTTTATATTATAAATCAAAGACTTTGGGGTTTTTTTGTACTGGATTAGTTTCCTCAGCCAGGCAGCAGTGAGATAAGATGAGATTTAGAAGACGTACTGATAATAACGTTTAGGGACCTGGGTTGTTACAGGGAAATTTTTGCTTCCCTACTGAATAGGGAATAAAATCGGAGACCAGTGCCCAGATTTATCACTCTTTGTTCTCTCATAGCTACTCTTAGTGAAGTGCTGTAGACTAATTTGAACATCTTGACCAAAGCTTTTAACATATTACCTATTTCGTTTGCTCCTAATTTAGTCATTCAACAATTCCATCTGGAGCTTCCTGTAATTATGTGATTCTCCAGGGAGATGGTCTACAAAGTTCGATTGAAATTTTTCAGTTCTTTACCAAATCTAAGCAAAAGTTTGATATATTTATTTGTAAGAATATCTTTATTAATCTCTTTTTAATTGCTTCGAATTAAGCTACCGGAACTGTCAATGTCTCTAACAAAATGTTTTCATATTCTTTCATATTCCTGGTTTTCAGATTTTAAAATATACATAGATACTGCTCTCTGGGAGGAGAAAACCACTGCCAGAACGGGGAGAGCATTCTGCTCTACACACTATACAGTGCATCACACTCGAGTTCATCTTTCTGAAATAGCCTCAGTTATAAATACTAAGACTTCTGTTTGGTTTTGAGAAAAAATGCAAATTAAACTTTAAAGGAATGTTTTAAAATTACAGTTTTTGATTTGAATTTCGGAGTTTTCCCATTTTAATTCTTCTCATTGTACTGGATGCCTATGAAGACACAAAAACCTCAGATAACAAAAAGTTTCCTTACCTGTGTACCAGCTGCTTGCGGCTTACACAAATAGCAGTTTCATAGTCGTGAGTGACACACACTTTATGTGGGCTGCACTTCACCTTCAAACATGGATCTTTGGATGGATCGAGAGCTATAAAAAACCAGACAGATTAAAAAAAGGAAGTGAGAAATGCATATAAAGCTCTCTCCTGGTTGACAGATGACAACCTGCTAGAATGAACACTCCCACATCTGAGTGAATAAATACTTTGCTATTTTATAGTATGTGCCGTTGTTTTCAGACCGGATGTTAAACAGAGATGGTTAAGTAGACAGACAGCTAACGATTTCTGACTACTGAACAGTGATCTGAGTCTAACTTAGCATCCACATTAATATTAGACAGGATACTCTGGGATGAATTTCTGATATAATAGTCTATGTCATGCTGTTTGTTTCATAGAAGAGTTATGGTGGAATAGAATACATGTAACCAAATGACTAGTATTTTAGAAGCTATCTAATAGCTGACACATTGCAGAGCTCTAAGAAATTTAACTTGACAGATACTATATAACAGTCGTGTTATCTTGTAGAAATGCTGGTAAAATTAGGATTTGGTTCAGGATCATCCTGTTTAGCACCCAAAGCGAGCAAGAGGGTCTGATCTCAGCGGAGGCAGGAGCTGCCCCTTCACAGAGGCGAGAAGATGCTGGTCCATCAGGCACTGGAGCAGGTGCCGGAGCAGACTCCTGATTCCTCTGGAAGCTCAACAAAAGCAGACAGTATGGACTGTCCTGCCAGTGTGCAAGCCTCTCTGCTCCTGCCAAGTTCATACAGACGTTTTCCTGAAATAAGTGGTGATTTGGTGATCTTTCAAACAAGAAAACAGGAGTGAAAACAGTAAAATGCTGAATACCACTGCAATTAGAGCATGCCTTAGAAATACTTTGCTGCAATCAAGTCCTATTTAAAAGGCCATCTATCCAAATTCATTCTCTTACAAAAGGACATATCTGCCAGGATGAACTGCAAATATTCAAAACATGGTTATGAGAATACTTCAGAAGAAGGGAAGTCACAGCCACGCAGAGAAATTTCACCTTTGTTTAAGAAGTGATTTTTATGTAAGCTTGTTTTGGACATTATTTTGCTGTGGATTTGGCTTTCTGTTCCTCTTCAATGTGTCCTCAAATCTCATTTTGCTCCAACCCCACATAATGGGCCACTCTTGGAAATGGGCAACTCTTCTAAGTTTCATTTTTGGGACCATATAAACCTGTTATTGCACGTCACAATAAGTGAGTTTCCCACTTACTGAAAGAGAAACTTTTAAAGGATACTACTTGACGTACAAGAAGTTTTAGTTCGCTTTGTACCAAGTTTCTTTGTATGGCAGCAAATGTACTTCCAACAAGCAGAGGATTTTGCTGTTTTCCTGCAGTGCTGAAGTGCTGCAGCTGCTCTGTGTTGGTTTAAACAGCCATAGCTACAAGCTCTTACCATATTAACACCCATTACACATTTGTGACGGGCAATTGAGCTTCACTAGCGCATATGTATTTAGTGGCATGCCTTTGGTGCAAGGGAAAGCGGAGAAACAAAACAGAGGGTTAAAAGCTTTGTCTTTTAAAGCCATTAAAAAATGATAGAAAAGGTGAAGTGAGCAAGGAAGGAGGAAAGACCAGCTGTTTCCTGCACCACAAACAACAAGACATCAACATCCAATGAGCTGCCAATGGGAAAATATACAAGCAGTGTTTGAGGGGCCAGGGTTTGCCCCCCTGAAATGACCAAAAGCTGAAAAGGCTCTTCGGGGGTGTTTCGCTGTTGCTTTTTGGCATCTTTTCTAAGTCAGACTAACAGGCACATGAGAAGTAGCCCTTCCCCTGCTCTACATTCCCGGAACACAGCAGACAAGCTATACATTCTTAATCCTCTTACTCCGCTCTCACTGGAGAATGAGTTAGAGACTGAGGCAGATATTTGACAGGGATTGAAATGCCAAACCACAATTTCCTTACCTATCTGTCTACCTATGTATTCTCAAACCGCAAAACAGAGTGAGGTACCCTCCTTCTGCAAAGCCTTTAATAAGTAAGCACCACTTGGAGCATGGAGGGCCACCAGATCACAGGTTCAGTGGGCCGATGTAATTCAAAGGTGTTATCCCCACAAAAAAAAATTAATGACCAGAACTTTTGCTTCCTTGCAGCTGTCCCTGCACTTTTACTGGAGCACATGCACACTGTCTGCTTTTGCTGGTGACACATCCTTGGTGGGAAATGCTGTATCAACAGAAACTATTGTGCAAATTGGCTAGAAGCCGGGGGCTAACGGTTGCCAACGTTGTTGGGCTGCTGGAAAGCACTCTCTGGCCTTGTGTTCACAGTTTTCTGTCAGCTAGAGCCTGCACAAGTGGGCATGTGGGTTTAGCCTTGAAAGTCAATACTAGTTTGGCACGAATAGAAGCGTGACGTAGGCCCACGTGGTCTATGCAACACCACACACAATTTCAATACCTTAGCATTTCTTCTAGTAAAAAATACTCTAATTAAAGAATTATATCCATTTCAGGAACCCCTTAGGTCTTCTAAGGCAAAAAACCCCAACACATGCACTTCTGAAAACTGAATGTTCTGAAATGGCATCACACCATACATTACTGTTAAAAGAAAAACAACTTTCAAATGTTTTGCAATAAAAAAAAATGTTTATTGAAACAGAAAAAAATATTGTTGAATGGCCATCAGTTTGAAGCAAAGGAATGGGAAAAGATGTGGCTGGAAATCCTGGTCACTATTTTGTTTCAAATGAGACCTCAAATTCTCTCTACCTCAGTGTCTCACTTCTAAAATCTAAAAAGAAGAATAAAGCTGACAATAATAATAAATAAGGCTTTTCGCCTCCTGTGTGTTAGATGAATTATTTCATTCATAGTGGAAGAGCTCATGAAGATCCTTCAAAGGAATACTTTCATTTATTATTCATTACAAACAGCCCTTACACACAGCCCAAAACAGCGGAAGGAAGATTATTAAATACAAGCAAAATGTGAGCTTTGTCAAAAGACAGCAAAAAACTCCACAACATGAATTATTATTTCCTGAGATTTTTTCCTACTTATACAGAATACATAACTCATATGAACACAAAAGGTCAAAATTGAGATTTATATGTCTGCAAAGTTCCTCAACATGTTAAGTAAGTTTAGAAGGTTGTTCTACTGCTAAGCAACACAAGCCCTAAGGAGAGCTCCTAATAAGAAACAATTTTGGAAATATGCTAATCAAAGATCATGCTTTGTTAATCAGATTTCTACATCACTAGGAGCAGATGCTCATCATCTGCAGAAGAAAAGACCCTTAGGAATAAGATGAAACATAATAACCAAATTCGTCATCACGGTTCTTTTTGTCCTAAAGCAATGAGTATGAAATCTTTGAAAATGAAGAATAAATAAATTAAAGTGGGAAGAGGAGTGAGAAGAAGTCTTTTTTATTATCAAGATGTTATTTGATCAGCTTGAAAGAGAACTACAGTCATCTCTTTTCTATGTCAGAGTTTGCACATAGTTACTCAGGTCTGACTGCACAGTAATAACAAAAATACCTTAACCTTGGCTTTAAAATATGAGTATTTTCCCACTTTTGATTTAGACTGAGACTGAAATTGAAACTGATGTATCAGTTAATCTGAATGGACAGTGGCTGAAGATTAGTCCATAATGTTTGGAGAGAGCATGTGTCCAGCCATTATTGGAATTAAAGATTTCACACAAACATAAATTCTTTGATGAAAACCCACTTTGGTCACCCTATCTTTTTGCAAGTCCCGGCTTCATAGTTCCTGGCCTGAGCTTTCTCCATGTTGCGCAAACCTTGCACACTTGTTCTCCAAGAGACTTACCCGTCCCAGGAGACAGCTAGTTGAAATTCAGGGAAGAACAGTACTGCACATCTCTCAGTATAATCATTTTCAGAAGTTGTTTATCTTGGGAAAATTTACAATTTCTGGGGTTTTATCTTGCCTCAAAAGTCTTAGTCTTCCTCACTTCACACCTAGATGTTTGCTGCTGACATTTGCTTTCAGTCCTGGTACTCTGAGCTGTGAAGTCTCTTCTTGACGCCAAAGCAAAAGTGAAGAAGTGTTTATATCGGTTAAAGTTTCTGCTTCATTGGCCACAACATATTTCTAGGAAAACTGTACTCTGTAGGTCAGCTGATCGCACTGCAAAGGGGAAAGGCTTTCATACGCACGCAGCGACCCAAAACCTGTACTAGGCCCACTCAAACAAAATAGAAGTGCAGAATCCCTGTCATTAAGAGATGAAAGACTTGCACTTTTTTGGGGGAGGTCAAGCTTTTATTATATATAGCAACCTAAGTTCCCTCTTAAAACTATACATATGAGGTTATCCCATAGAGATGCCACAATAATTGGTAAATGATAAACACCAGGGATTGCACCAGACCATGAACAACCTCCTAATGACAGGCTGACGTCTCTTTCCAGTACCACAAGGATTACAAAACCCCTTCAAGTACAATTCACCAGAGCCTTGGAGTTTGCAATACAGATCAGTGTTGGACGAAGACCTAACAACAGTGTTTCAGATATCTTTCTATCACTTTTCACATTTTTTACATATTACCATTGTGAAAGAAGAATCATGATGTGCAGGAAACTCCTTAGTTCAGACAATGGCAGTAGAAGGAGAAGTTCAACTTTAAGACTTTAAGACTATATGCTGCAGCTGTGGGTCACTGTTAATCACAACATTTATTTTTCACACATTTGACTTTAAAAGGGTGATAACAAATAAATACTTTCAATGACTTGCAGCACTGGGTGTGTAATCCTGCAGAAACCGTACGACTAGTTCACAGCAAGATTTATGAGCTTGATTCTGTTTTTATGACCATTTGTTTGGGGGAAGAGTAATTTCAAACTCATAGCTGTTTAGTGGAGCTGAAACAAACTACACAGTCAAAGAGAAATGACATTATGTAAATATTGGGGGTTTTGTTTTCAAAATTGCCTGACAATAAGTACTATGATCACTCAATGACAAAAATGCTTCTGCATAATGAAATGTCAAGAGCAGTTGCTTTTATGCAATCCCCTTGGAACTGTGCTATGAGAAAAGAA